GCTGCTGCGCTTCTCCTAGGGCAGCCCCGCTGGTGAGAAGGGATGCCGCGGCGGGGAGCGGGGCCTTGCGCTGGAAAGCCGGGAGGGGGGCTGTGCTACGCAATGAGTCGATGTGTAATTACACCGACAATTTGCCCTGTCCTTATGTGTCTGTGAGGGACTTTTTTTTTTTTTTTTGTTTAGTTTCTTTGGGGAGAGAAGAGGTGTGTATTTATTTTTACTCCGCATCTCTGTCGTGCTTGGCGCGCATGGTGGTTCAGGTATTTACAGCGGGACAGTTGTGCGAGGCGTTCTCCTTTGCCTGTCTGTGCAGGAAGCTGCAAGCAGCAGGCTCAGCGTATTCTGTAGCTTCTATAACCTCTCTCCGCCCTTCTTCCCACCCCCCACTTCCTCCCAGCCTGTGTGTGTTTCTGTGTCTGTGTTAGAATGCAACACAGGTGAACATTGCAGCAATATTTACTAAGACCATGCATCATCTGACAAAACGCCTTAAAAAAAAAAGCTGATCTATCGTTTCTTTTTATTGACCTCGTACTAAGAGAAAAGAACTGCATGCTGGTGTTACTCATGGAACAGACAGAGAAAAGTCTTGATGAGGATGTAGAGTTTCAGGATTTAAGTCTCTCAGCTCTTCCTCCTTCCCTCCCAGCCCCCCGCTAAGAGAACATTGTACTTTGAATTATTTAACAATATCATTTCTATAGAATTTTTTCAAGTGCAAACATTAAAGGTCTCTTGAGTATATGTGATAAAATGAACCTTCTCACTGTGATCTACCATGTTTACTATTGAAATTAATAAATGCACTTCAACAGCTCTTGTGTGCTGTGTTCAGTGTAAGATACATATAAAAAAATTCATCAGACAGACTATAGACTGCTCAGAACTCTTAAAGGAGTACGAGACTAAAATTCATGCTGCTACTTTTCTAAGCCGCAAAATAAAACGTACAATCACAGTCTATGGGTCACACAGCATTTAAATGCATTTGTTTGTAAATTAACCTGCACTTACATATATTGCTATTTTTTAGGTCGATTTTTTTAAATTCAAGGGGTTAAACTGAAGTTGTTGATACTCTATGTCAGCTACAGGGCTTGCTTGTATGATAAAGCTTATGTTCCCTTGTGTGTGCACAGGGGAGCCATATGTACATGTGTCAGTCTAGGTGCATGTGTCTGTGTTTGTGTTAAAATATATATGCAGGTATATGTGGTGACACTGTAAAACAACAACTGTATCAACAAGCCTATTTTTATTGCAATTACAGAAAACATGAAAATGGGGGGAAAATCCTATTTGTAAGACACGACCCAAAATTAATACTGCCACCAAGAAGTAGCACACAGACATTGCTAATCTACTAACTGCTGAATCTGAATTCTGCGGGACATTACCAATTTACTTGTGTTTTCAGATTCTAAGACTTTGAAGCTAAGCACTTCTGTTGTAAACAGGTATTATATATCCTGGTATAGACTGGGGTTTTTGCCACCAGGAAAAAGAACAGAGTTTTTTTACCTGGGATACATAAGACCTACTTGTGGCAGTGTTCTTTGATGAAAATTCAGAACTGGCACAAAAATGGTTAGAATTTTTATGATGCTGTGTTATGTCTTACTGAGTTCCTTCACTTTCTCTTGGATTGTTCAGGCATAACAGGGTCAACTGAATCAGGTATCTGAAGCAACCAGAGGCACACAATCACCTTGATTAATATACAAAGTTCTAATGAGTTTATATGAGTTTTTCTGAGTTGGCAGATAGGCAAAAGATTTTTTTTTGTGGCAATAACTAAGGGCAGTTTTGTTGGTGATCAAGCATGTGTTGCACAGGACAGGTTTGTGAGCCTATGCATTAAATTCTTTCAGTCAGAGGCATGAAATTACAAGTGATCCTTGCATATGTGTGGGTGTCTGTGCATCTATGCTTACATACAATTGCATATGTACATATGTGTATATTAACACAGATGCATACGTACAAGTTAAATGCATGCGTGTCACCAGCTGTCACACGACCAGATTTAAATGTAAGATACATTAATGTAAATTGGTGTTTTTTCAAAGAGACAAAGCATATCTCTAAAACACCAAGCTTTCTTTCACAGCCTCACTTACACACTAACTTTGGAAGTAACTGCAATTCACCTGACATATTTTGTTGATTAATCATTGGAGCCTAAGCACATCAAAAGAGGCAATGTGGTGGTTATGACCCAGCTGTTCATTAGTCTTATTACCAATTACATTTTCGAGCTCTGAGACATCAAGAGCCTCAAAATCATAATAAGTTTAACTTTTTGCTTATTCTGAATATGAAAATATTTTCAGCAGTTGTAAAGCACTTTTCTAAAACTGGATTGTTGCCTAGCATGTCGAAAGTTTAAGAAAAGCACAGTTGTGAAAATTCTGTCCAAAACATCACCTGGATTGTCAAAAGCAGCTGTTAACACTGCCCACTCTCTTCCAGTTTACATAGTTGTATGAAACTTACTTATTCCAAAGTCACTGTAGAAATAGCTGCTTATTGGAAGTTATGGAATACAAGACACTGACTTTTTCCTTCTAGCTCCCTAGCAAATTCCTGCTAATGGCTTGTTTTCTAATCTTTTTATAGGTCTCCAGATGGCTGTGACATAAAAAAGAAACATCCTGTATGGATTCCTTAAGAGCAAACCATGTCTATTGACTTTAAAGAGGAACGCTTATGATTCTCTAATTATTGCAATCAGACCCCCATCCTATCTCCAGCCACACCACCTTCTTTGGGAGGACTCACAGGAGCCCCACTTAAGCTGCTGTGACATACATAAGAAGTGTGTTGCATAAATTCCCTTTTTGCACTAAATTATGACAAAATTCATGTAAACATTGTGGCATGCCAGTAGACTCCAAGGCATTTTTCTCTGTAGAGCAGCATCCCTTTTCTCCCATTCAGGTAAGTCATTCAACTGCCTCACCCTCAAATGAAGGTGGTTTACAATTTCTTTTGTGACCACAATTTCATTTTACAAGCAACAGATTATACTTCTCTTACATTAAACATAGAGTATGCAAAAAGGTACAAATCCAAATTCTGATGGTGAAAAGACAAAGTATCAAGAATTCAAAGTCACAGGAAAAGAAAAATCAAACCCCCCAAACAGTCAGTTTACACGTGGAAACCATGTGCTGTTAAAGGATATGTTTTCTGTTGGTAATGTATACAATATCATCTGACTTTTATTAAAAAAAAAAAAAACAAACAAAGATTACCATTTCTTGTTGCAACTGTAACTACCTGTGTGTGAGTTGTTTAAACCTGAAAAATAGCCCCCTAAAAAGCAAAGGATCATTTAAACATCTTGTTCCAGAAATATATACGAATGGATAAATCTATGTGATTAGAAGGCACTGAGTATATTAACTTTTGGGATTATTAGATAAATCACTAAAACACTTGACCCTAGATTAAAGGTGGAAAAAACTAGTTACATTCCCTGCAAATGATTTAAGATGACACAAAACAGATATGAGTGATATACTCCTGTATCTGCAGGGTTAAAGACGGTAATCAATATTTACCAGAAATATTATATATAATGTAATGTAATATAATATAATATAATATAATATAATATAATATAATATATTAATATGTGTATTTTAAACTTCATTGTTATTTCTGAAGAATTACACTTAAAAATAAAAGGCTAAAAATATTATTTGGGGCTCCTGAACAGAAGGGGAGAAAACTGTAGAGGCAGATCTGGGATGGAAACTGTAGAGGCAGATCTGGGATTTTTGTGCTATAAGCAGCCAGTTACTTAATAAATGTTGGAGGCCTTTAGCCTCCTAGCCTTCAGCTCAAAAAAGGCAAAATATATTATATCAGCACTTTCCTGCCACATTTCCCACAGATTTCCCACATTTCCTGATTGATGATGTCCTGAAACCAGAATTACTAGGAAGGCATAGTCTATATTTACATCTCTGCAAGTTTATCAAGGGCCGCGGGGGTAAATAAATACAATGTAAGTTGCTGGTTTTCATCACATTATATCGATCACAACAGCCTCAACTAACAATTATTGTTGTTATTGTTGTTGTTGTTGTTGCTGCTGTTGTTATTTCCCAGGCAGCAACGCTGTTCTTAGATGTTGCGATGAGGCAGTTTCACCCGATGGACACGAGTGGACTGCGGTTGTTGAAGGATGACATTGTTTTGCTGGAAAGGACAGGGGGATGCAGAGGGGCACCCTCGGGCCAGGGTGAGTGGCCAGGCAGCTCCTCACTGGCCCTCCTGCAACTCCATTGGAACTGTCCTGTCCCGACACTCCCTTGCCAGATGTGTTCCTGTGCTGAGCAGAGCCATTTTGGCAGGGATAGATTTTGGAAAACCCGAGAAGTGATGGTCCACTGCGTGAGAGGCAGCAGATGGACTAACTGCTGCGAGCAATCCTTTGCACCCTGACTAGCTGCAAGAGATGCCTCTGGCTTATCTTTTCCCTCCCCTTCTTTTTTCTTTTCCCTCTGCATTTCTTTCCTCCACCGCCCCCACCCCCCTCCCACTCCACACACTTTTTCGGGTGTTTGTTTGTTTGTTTGTGTGGTTTGTTTGTGTGATTTGTTAACTGCTATTCTTCAACTCTGTGTTTGCTCTTGTGCCTGCACATCTTCCGAGGGCAACCAGGCACTGCAAAAAAACTCCCCGAGAAGCCACAGCTGCTCAGCATCCGCTGGCCGTCTGCTAGATAATTAACATTTCCCGCAATTAAATACAGCCCGGTGACCAACAGGTTTAGCAACAGACACAAAATCGGCTCACCGGTGTAAGCCACTGTGTCTAGTCATAAACCCTGCCTTGTTAATCAAAAGTCCCTTGCCGAGAGTGAGAGAAGGCAGCCGAGCGACCCGCTCCGGCTACCCGGGAAATCTGCATCTGTCGGGGGTCCAGCACCCAAATTTTGCAGGGAATTCAGGACACACACACACATACATAAACACTGCAGTACTTACATATCTTCGCCTTTATCAGGGAGTGATTTTTACCCCACATGTAGGGGGGTGAGCTGACCCTCTGGTGGCAAACAAAGATTCCCACAGCCAAGGCCCCTAGGAGCAGAAAAAGCTCTTTCAGGTCTCCAGAAATTCAAGTGTTTCCCCTCTCCATCTCTATTTAAAAGTATCCCTTAGATCCATGGTGTTGTTCTTGCTCCAACGACTCTAAAATAGTTTAAAATCTTCCATCCATGAAAACGGGGGAGAAATGGAGAAAGTTGGCTTGGGTTTGCCATTTTTTTTTTCTTTTTCCACACTTTTGCCCACACCCTGGAGTAGAAAGTGAACTGTTGTATGTGAGGTTCTGCAAGATTTTGGGGGTTTGGCCAAGGTCTAGTCCAGCCTCTCTGCTGAGGAGGACGTGCTCTGAAATTGAACCAATTTCCCCAACGCTTTTGTTGCTGATTAACTGAAGCTCTATTGTTCTTCATCCATTGCCACGGTTTTTTTCAGTTCCTACTATACGTTATGCATTGCCAGAGATAATGAATTTGCACCAAAACCTCTCATAGTCCCGTTCTGACAGACAGAACAAATTAGAAATGTCTAGTGCAGAGAAGAGCAATGAGTACTTTTTCTCTAGAGAAGAAGGGAAGCTTGCATTTCTTTGGAAACATTAAAAAAAAAAAAAAAAAAAAGAAGAAGAAGCAAATGGTCGAGATTCCTAAGGTGTTTTCCTCCAGTTAACTTCTGAAGAACAGTCTCATCTGAGTCTTGTTTCTGGGAGGCACTGATATTTTGTGCAACTTTTGTCAAAACCAATCAGCCGGTCAACAGCAGGCAAAACAACAACAACAACCACCACCAAAAAAAAAAAAAAAAAAAAAAAACCAACAAAACAACACCATCCAAACAACAAAACCCCCAAAAAACAAACAGGAAAAATAATGGTATTAACAAAAAACACTCTTCCCATTCCTGTTGTAAGGCGAACTTGTAGCATGACCTCTCGTCACTGGGAGGAAGATGTCCTAAAGCACTGCCGTTTCCTTCTGCCCCCTCTCATCTGTCTCTCCGGGTTTGAGAACAGCATGAAAACACCAGTAAAAGCCCCACCTAGCTTTTAGGGTGCGGGGCCCGACGGGAAGAAGTTTGAGTTAGCGCCGGAACGGGAGGTGTGCTGTGAGGGAGGGGTGGAAGGAGAGATGGAGGAGGAATAGAGGGATAGAGAGAGGTATGCAGAGTGAGGGGATGGCAGGACGGCTCATCCCTGCTCTAGCCCCTGTCTGGGGGCGTGTGGGGTGTGACTGAGGGGGGCCGATGTCGTGCTGGCCCCTCACTCTGGGTCGGGTACACACGGCGTCCCTCGGAGGGGAGGGGGCTGCTGTGGAGGTTGGCGGTGGGAGGAGCGACGCTAAAAAATTACTAAACATATACATACACATATGTACACCCTACAGATGCCCTTACACAGACACATGTGTGTGTATGCTTGTGTATGCATATGTATGCATCCATCCATATAAATATTTATAGATATGATAACAAGCCTATGTTCCCCCCGGCGCTTGGCTCCAGGGAGAGGGAAGGCGCTCTGCCGTTCTCAGCTGCAGACTTCTACGGTATGTTTCCACGGGGAGAGCCCCGCAGCGGCCCTGGGCAGGCGGGCATTCCCTGCCGGCACAGCCTTCGGAGACCTGGCGGACAAAGAGAGCTCTGTGAGGATCCAAACGCCAGCCCCGAGCGAACCGAGGGAATTCAGCACGAGTGCCCGAATGCACGAAAAAAAAAAAAAAAAAGTAAGAGCGGACAGCGGTCCCCCGGTCAGAAACACACTCACGTTTCCGCTTCTTGGAGAGGGCATTTAAGTTTAGTTAGGATACTTGAAGGGAGATGCAGTGCGTGAGTACGCGGTGTGCAGCCCTAGGAACGGCTGTGTCGAGGTCCACAGAGATGCTCTGGAACAGCTCATAGAAGGCTGAAAAAGTGTAAATAATGTCAGCAGAAAAGGAAAGAAACTTTGGTCCTAACAGAGAACATCATTCGTTTCTAAGCCACCGGCTACATCTCACCCTGCCGCCTCGCCGTCTGAAGTTCCCCGGGAAGTTCTCCCAAACATCATGACACACCGCAGTCTCCAAAAGGCGAAGGGAAAGAGGAGGACAGAATGCTCTAATCTACGCCCCGCCAGTGCGGTGTCTGTAGTTCACCGAATCCCCGCATACACGGAGTCTCCTCCCGGCGGAGTGAGAAAGCATCGCTGCAAAGCCGTGAGAGCGCCTTGCACTTGCAGGTCAGACGGCAGCGGCTGCGACCCGAGATGAGGGCCGCGCAACCCCTCCGGCCGCCAGCCTACCTTCCCTCTCTCCGCGCCCAGAACCTGCGATGCACTACAGAGCAGCGCCCGGATGAATGCTGCCCCCTCACCGGCTCAACGCTCCTCTGTCATGCAACGCTTTGGGTAAGGAGGGAGGAATTTTCTTTTTATCTGTTAAAATTGCTTGGAAGTGTCTATTTTCCGCTCTTTCCCTGCTGAAAAGAAGCAGCAAATAACGTCCAAATACCACTACTACTACTACTACAATTACTAATATATCTATATATCTATATATCTATATATCTATATGTATCTATATATAGATATATATAAATTGAAAGAAAAAATATAGAAAAGGCTAGACGGACTCGGCAGCGCTGCAGCGAGGTCGGCTTTCTTTTGGGGCCGAGCGTTGGGCTGGGCAGCCCTGCTCCTGCTGCTAGAGCTTATTTCACGGAGCAGAGTGCGGGCGGGAGCCTGCGCGCCCGCGGAAGAGCGGGGAGCATCTCCGCGGCTGCGCCCTCGCCCCGAGTCTCCCCGTCCCCTCTTCACGTTCAAGGCTTAGCGGAGAGGTCGCGTCTACTGACGTCAGCTGAAAGCATTCTGCACATCCGTCTACACTTACATACATTAACGAAAGTAAGGCAAGAAAAAAAAAATAAAAAGAAGAAAAGAATATACAAATTCCTCTGTTCGGAGAAGAGACCGCGGATCCTGGGAGCGATCGTCCCTATTTGCAAAGATCCTAATTAGCGGGAATTAGTGGGGCCTCCCATTTTCTTCCAAATATCATCATCATTATCAACAAAACAAACATCCCCGAAACGAGCGATCGGGGCCCGGCGGCCGCGCGTAGAAGAGCTCATATGGGAGCGGACGGCCGCGGTGTGTGAGCCACAATCCCCTGTTGTGCTGTTCTCTTCTCCTTTTTCTGCTCCCGTTTACTCCAGCGTTTGTTACTTTTAATACTGATGCTTATGTAAGGTATATTTGCATTATGTTTAATTTACTGAAAATTGCAGCCTACCACTTGTCCTTTGCTCCTCCCTTTCTATTTCTTCAAATATACTTCTCCTTTCCCCCATTCCCTCCTATTTCCCCGTGTTTTGGTGAGACTGCAGTGTGTCTTTATATCCAGTTTCCTCCATGCTTCTATTCTATATAAGATTACTGATTATGAACAACGCTGGTTTTACAAATCAAAGTGCATAAGATGTTTATTGGCCATTAAAAAGGCTCGAGGGTCTTACTACCCTGGTCAGTTATCACAACGCTAGCTGGAGACGGGAAGTTGATTAAGTAACTTCATATTCAGAAAAGCAAGTTTTAGAAATCACCAACACACCCCTCCTCTTCCGTCCCATTTTAAGGTATAAGGCAATATAGATAAGGGGTGTAATGGGGGCAATTTAAATGGATTTAAAAAATTTCATTGCTGTTTTGCAGCCTCTAAGTGCACTTGTATCTGCCTTTATTTCAGAAATAGTTTATGTCAAAATTCTTCCTTAAAATATGCAGAGCCAGGTACAGAGAGCTTTCTCTGAGGAAGACATTTTGTAATTATTTTCTTAGGTGCCGCATTATTAAATGTGTGACACATGGTTTCTAACGTGCATGTTTGAATCCAGCACCTAATTTTTCATAGAAAGAGCGTTTAGATTTTTTTTTTTTAAATACTGCTTGTAGCCTTACACCTGCTTTATGCGAAAATCCATAGGCCTTGAATTATATGACAATCACAGGTGGCACATTTCAGTTTACCTTAATGTGTAATGAAAAGAAAGAAGAGTAGTTTAAAGAGTAAAACCAGAAGATTGCTTTGTTTTTATAGTCCAGGAATGTTGTTTTTAAACGAACAACGTCATTCAAAGTAAAAAAAAAAAAAAAATAAAGCCCATTCATAGTATTTTTTTCTTTTTTGAAAGCTCAATAAAGCCCATGCGTAGGTTATGAGTGACTTACCTGAATGGACATATCGGGCAAAAGTTATCCCTCCCCAAAGACTGTTATGCATGTGTTTTTTATAATAAAGATTGGAGTGTCTCTTACTCTTGTATTTTTTATAATAAAGATTGGATTGTCTCTTACTCTGTGCCCGTTTCATCACAAATATCTTTTAATTCTTTGCCCTTTCTAACGTTATTCCCAGCGGTACTCCTCGCTCCAGTTTTACTCCTACGCTCACGTCACCCAGTAAAAAACAGTCATGTGCCTACACGTAAAACGTGTGAAAAAATAATACTCTCCCAAAATGGAAATCGACACGGTGATCCATCAGATTAGCTTACCACATATAGCAGCAATCCATTAAGAAAGCACCATTTCTACACATTTTTACGAATAGCGGGTGCCGGGGATTCCCGGTCCACGGACGGATGGGATTCCCACCTCCTTCTTTAATGAGCACACGTGAGCGCAGGTGCAGCTGTCGCTCCCTTGAGGAGCCGCATTAGCGTGCGCGGGGAGGCAGGCAAAAGTGAGCGTGGGTCTGTCTGTCTCTCCGTCCCTGCAGCGCGTCCCGCATCGTGCCCCGCGCCCCGTGGTGGCTCACCCCGCAGCCCTGACGGCACGGGGGCAGCCCCCGCCCCCGGATCAGCCCTGCCAGGATGCCGGGGCTCCCCTCGCAGCTTCCCTCGCCCCCTGCCCTCCTTGCGCCGCTTTTCTGCACGGCGGCGCTGCGAATCACAGCGGCGTCATTTGTATCATCCCCAGGGCCGGAGGGGGGGCAGCGCGCCCCTTCCTGGCCCTGCCTGCGCCTCTGCCGGGGCCACGGGCATAATGAGGGGAGCTACGTGTCCCCTCAGATCCCGACACTTGACACTTAAACATGGAGTGTGGAGTACGAACAAACAATACAGCCCCTGCCCCTCCTCAGCCGCCCCGCATACACATTGCCCAATACCGGCCTAATATCGGATTTACTGCTAAAACCAGCGGCGCCTATGTTCCACTGCGCATCTGCACGGATCTTCCAAGGTGACTAGAATGCCACCGAAGTTGGAGATTTCTTGGATTTCCGTCCAAGGATAGATAAACAAATGAATATATAACAGAGCTAATAATGCTCTGATTTGGGGTGGCCGCTGCATGAGACAGATTGCTGGGTTGTAAATAATAAATGCCTGAAATAAATCCCTTTCTCCATATTCTCATTCATTTCCCCCATCATCCCTTTTTTTCCTCCCCACCAATGCTTTTAATACCTATCCTTCTCTGAACCAAGTATTCAGCATTATACACTTAAATTTTCTCCCACTTCTCTTCATCCCTGTCTTATACTATATGTAAATAATCCGAGCTGCATATTGTTCTACGCATAAACTTTATTTTTAGAAAAGTGAAGGTGCAAGTACAAGTATTTTTTCATTTTCTCTTTATTTTCTCTCTACTTTTCGTTTTGTTCTTGCTTTTTTATTTCCCCTGCAGGACTGAAATATTGAAATGAAAAAATGCAGAACGTCAAAGAGATTATATTTGGTGAAATAATTAAAATTTGGCATGACAATTTTTTTTCCTGTAAGAGAAAAAACTCCAGAATTTAGAGTTTTATCTG